TCTTTTACTAATATTTAAATTTGTTTGATGATCTGAAACATTAAAGTGTGACAAACATGCAAAAAAATAATAAATCAGGAAGGGGGCCTACACTTTTTCACACCACTTTATATATATAAAATGTATATATATATATATATATATATATATATATATATATATATATATATAATATTTATTAATATATTTAAGTAAAAGTAGTATTTTTTTTTACAAATCTGACTGACACAGATTGTATCACTTCTTTCAAATTTTAAAATAAATTAAGAGTTACATGCTATTTTTTTCCTTTTCCTCTTTCCTGTGCAGTTGCAGAGCGTTCATTTTTTTCACACAGAAAAACGTATACCTATCATTTAATCCTAACAAAACAAATGTATCCAAATTGGCAAATGTATCCATGTACTATCATATGCTCGCACTATTGGACTCAAACTAGTGTTATTCTTATTCAGCAAAAGATGCTGCCACCCCAATCCTTTCAGCGTACAGACGAGCTACAGTGTTTCTGGGGCTGCTCTGCTTCCTCCTGCTTGCTGTGTTAACAGCTGTCGGCGTTTTCAGTAAGGATAAGCACTCATTCATATACACAATACCAAAATATCATTCAGTCCTACCTTTGGATGTCCACATTTGGTTGTGTGCTAGTCCTATTCAAGGAAACGCAAAGACCACGATTAACTGGTTCAGATCTAGAACTAAAAATAAATAAACAAATAAAATAAAAAGAGAAGTTATTGAGTACTCCTAATGTAACCTCAAAATGTACCAACATAAAAGTTTACAAACGTGTCAAGAAAAGGGAAATGTTGCTGTGTGACAACACTGGAAACTTTCTCATGTGTCCTGTTGTCTTATGTCAGAAATTTCACAATTTCTTTCAAGCTGATAGGTGCAATATAAGCCAATGGTGTTATTTATGAGTAATTAAGGACTATGCCTACTAAACTGTAACTAAACTCATAAATACTAAAATATCACAGAACCACTGCATTGTATTTGAAAAATAGTCTACAAGTCCTTTAGATTTAACTAACAGTTTGCCTTTTTTTGTTTGTTTTTGTTCTCTGCCTTGCAGACTACATTCACATGTCTAAATACAACAATATTCTGGTAAGAGCAAAGCCTGATAAACATACAGCACTTAAAGGGATAGTTCACCCAAACATGAAAATTCTGTCATCATTTACCCTCAAGTTGTTCCAAACCTGTATGAATTTCATAAAAGAAGATAAAACATAAAATATTTTGAAGAATGTGGGTAACCAAATAGCAGCTGGTCCTCATTGGCTTCCATAGTATGAAAAAATACTAAGGAATTCAATAGGAACCAGAAACTGTTTGGTTACCCACATTATTCAAATATCTTTTGTCCATACAGAAATCCATACAGGTTTGGAACAACTTGAGAGTGAGTAAATGATGACAGAGTTTTTGTTTTTGGGTGAACTATCCCTTTAAATAGTTAAAAAATTCCCTCTCAGCTAAACAAAAAGGACTTTAATCAGGTTTTAACCATGGGAGATCACTTTATACAGGCCCAGCACACTCAAGCGAAAGCCACCAATCTGCAACTACTGGCAGACAAGGAAGTGCTGGAGCGAGAGAGAGCTAGGCTGACGACACAGGGTGAACAGATGAATAGCACACTGGACGTCATACTGAAAAAAAGCAGCTTTTTAGTGGATGAGTACTGTCAGTCCACTGGAAACGGTAAGCTGTTTGACTGAATTTGGAGTGAAGTCTGTTTTTCCTTCAGTTAACCTGAGCTATTCTTCATCACAGGAGTCCAGTGTACACCTTGTCCTCAAAAGTGGATTCAGAATGGCTCCAGCTGTTACTATTTCAATGAAGACTGGCCCTGGAAAACGTGGACAGGGAGTCAAGAATACTGCAAGGGATATGGAGCTCAGCTGGCCATAATAGACAGTGTGGAGGAACAGGTATATCAAATGTAGTATAAAAATATACAAGAATGTTCTAATTTTTCTCTCTTACTCAAAGACTTAATCTATGAACTATTTATGAAAAAATTGTTTGTCAGTGTTCTTACAGTATTTCCACTAGCCCCAAAGAACTGTAAATAATATATTTTCTGATGAGTTCACAAAAATATGTACTATAAACAATTACTTCCGGCATTTAGCAAAAGTTGTTACAAAAGTGACTTAAAAAGCTTGTTTTAACGTCACATTGTGATCAACAGATATCATCTGGTTTATACTGTGCAAAATATGTAAGATTGTCAACAGTACATTTACTGTATGATTTCCACATGATTATAACACTGTTCTCATCATCTTATGCAAATTCAGGAATTCATCAATCAGCAGACCGAATCATATTATGACAAATATCATGGGTACTGGATCGGACTCTCTGAAAAGGACAAAGAAACTTGGGTCTGGACCACTGGAGCTGAACTTGAGGGAGGGTAAGTCTAAAAAATGGCAACAGAAGAGTAATTTGATGTATAAAATCAAATAGCTTTCAAATTTTTTTTTTAAAATCATTAACTAAACTATTTCATTTTTATATTTTATACATTTTTTACTGTAGTAACAGGCAAAAAAAGTATAAATATCGGTTTCCTTTCACTGAAAATAATTGTTCTTTTGATAAACCACGAAAAAAAAAAAGCAACCATCTGATGCTTTCCATATTTTCCTTTCAGATTCTGGGTCAATGCCCCCTCGAAAGGATACATGGAATGCGTTCTGTCAATGGCCAGCAAAAACCCACTGAAAAGCTGGATATCAACAAGTTGTTACATGAGGAATAGATGGATCTGCGAAGTGGACGTTTTAACATGGCCAACCTTCCTTCAAGCCCAACAAAACCAAAGTGGCCCCTCAACATGAGCAGAAGACAGAACAAAAGACAACGATCTCAAGAATAATTTTATTTCCAAAATCAGTTGAAGTTTGATTTGCTAGCAATGTTTCAAGTTACAGCGCCAAGAGAGACACACATACTGTAGGTAAATGACTTATGCACCATTCTTCCCGTCTGTCAAACAACATCCAACTTTATTGTGACTGAATAAATACTTCAGCCACACAAATCACTCCAAGCTGTTCACAGTTCATCACATTTTTGTAATTGTCGATATGCTATTTAATATGCATTACACAAATGTATCGCAAATCAGTCCAATAAAAACATTTAATCTCACCTGTGGGTCTCAAGCTTTAAAAATTGACCATGATTTGTAAGAATAAATATGAGTGCTGCATAACAAACGTGATCTGAAGTCTCTCAGCTAATAGTCTGTTACTGAAGAATTGATCCTAGCATTTCAGCAGCAGCCCAGATTCTGATCTACTTATTGTGTTTGTAGCGAGTTTGGTAGAATGCAAGTTAACTCTTTGCTTTTTTTTTGTTTTTGTTTTTTGGCACGGTCTCGACCACCTCCTGCTATTCCTTTTTGCTTCGTTTAATTTTTTTGTTTTTCTTCCTTTCATTCTCCTGTCCTTCTGTTTGTGTGTCTATTATCTGTGCGTCATTCCTGGTGTCTTCTGTTACTGTCACCGCAGTAGCTGATTTATCCACATCTTTATAGCGCTCCATGGAAGAGCTCTTTTTCTTCTTGAAGGCATTGTCAGATGTTTGTTGATAGTTAGTACTGCTCTTCTGTGGTTGTTTGCGGTGGATTCCTCACTGATCTCATCTGCGTCAGCCGTCTCAGCAGCCACCTTGGATCATCTGTCAGCAGGTGTGTGTCTTGCTCCTCTGATTTGTGTGTGAATGCCTCATTCACATCTATGCTGCGTTCTCCATGAACACAATCCTCAGGTGCTTGTTTTTCTTTGCGATTTCTCTTTTTCTTCTTCTTTGGCTCCGTATCTGCGATCATATTGTCATTCACAGAAGCATCATTAGACTCTTTCCTCTTTTTGGGTTTGCTGTCCTCAGTATCATTACTTGAAAGGACCCGTGTTGTCATCTTGTCTTCATGGATGTTATTTTCTGATGGTATTCTCTGCCTTTTTGATTTCTTGCGTTTTGTTTTCTCTTTAATATCTGGACGTCCCTCAAAATTTAGACAATCTGTGTTGCTTGTGGATGTTTCAGCAGTGTGGTTCTTCTTGCCATACTTGTTCATGAACTCCTGCTCCTGCTGCTCAAGCCGGGCCAGTTTGGCGCTCATAGTGAGTCCATGTCTGGCTCCTCTATTCACACAAACAAACAAACATGTATTTAAGTAACCAACATATCTGACATGGTGTTGTTACTGATAACCAAACAATTTTTTGTAAATTGAAATATAACTGAAATATAAATATTTGATTAAAACCAAGTATAAAAAACACATACACACACACAAACACACACCCCGATGAGCCATTGCATTATGACCACCCCAGCCTACAGTAACGAGTGAGCCTGGCAACCGAATGATGCTTGCAGATGCAGTTCACAGAGCAGTATATGAGATAACCAAGGACAGAATGGGAAAAGCTGCCGATTTATCAGAGTTTGATAAAGAACAAATTGTGATGGAACGGCGCCTTGGAAATTTGATCTCAGAAACGGCGCACCTTGTGTGTTGTTCACAGGCCACTGTAGTGAGTACGTATCAAAAGTGGTGCATGGATGGCCAAACAACGCACCGTTGCCCAGCTGTGTATCATCCATAGCTCACTGATTTCAGAGGGGAGTGGAGACTGTCACGCATTGTTCACAGCGACTGCAGGGCCACAGTGCGACAAATAACCAAAAGCTACAACAGTGGTGACCAGGGCAATGTGTCACAGCCCATCGCAGCCTTCTGCGTATGGGCCTGCATAGCTGACCACCCAGTTGGGTCCCCATGCTAACGTCATTGCCAACAATGCATGAAATAAGCCCAAGACAATCGAGATTGAACTGTGGATGAATGGAAGAAAGTAGCCTGGTCTGATTAATTAAGATTCCTTGTGCATCATATTGAAGGCCAAGCGTGGATACGCAGATTACCAACAGAAGCTATGACACCTGCACCTATGACGCACTGTTGGATGGACACAGGCCGGCAGCAGCGGTGTTATGCTGTGGGCGATGTTTTCTTGGACACTTTAGGCCCCATTATCCCAACAGCACAATCCCTGACAGCTGTCAGGTATCTGAACATCGTTACGGACCAAGTGCACCCATTCATGGCAACTGTGCTCCATGCCAGTGATGGCCATTACCAACAGGATCGTGCGCCATGCCACACTGCCAGAACCGTCAAGGAGTGGCTTGAGGAACATGATGATGAATTTCTGTTAGGCCTCCAAATTCACCTGACATTATCCCAATCGAAAAGTGGCTTTTTGTTACATCACCACCACCACCACCACCCTACAATGTATGGGAACTGGAGGACCTGCTGTTGACATTATGGTACCAGATACCCCAGGAGACTATCGCTGCTGTTTTGTGTGCTAAAGGAGGTCCTACGGGTTATTAGATACTATAGGTGGTCATTAGATACTATAGGTGGTCATTATGTAATGGCTCATCGGTGTGTATGCATGCGAGCACTGACAGGCTGACCCCCCACCCCTTCAACCTCTGCAGCAATGCTGGCAGCACTCATACGTCTATTTCCCAAACACAACCTCTGGATATGACGCTGAGCACGTGCACTCAACTTCTTTGGTCGACCATGGCGAGGCCTGTTCTGAGTGGAACCTGTCCTGTTAAACCGCTGTATTGGCCACCGTGCTGCAGCTCAGTTTCAGGATCTTGGCAATCTTCTTATAGCCTACGCCATCTTTATGTAGAGCAAAAATTCTTTTTTTCAGACCCTCAGAGAGTTCTTTGCCATAAGGTGCCATGCTGAACTTCCAGTGACCAGTATGAGAGAGTGAGAGCGATAACACCAAATTTAACACACCTGCTCCCCATTCACACCTGAGACCTTGTAACACTAATGAGTCACATGACAAATTTGGCCCAATTTGGACATTTTCACTTAGGGGTGTACTCACTTTTGTGGCCAGCGGTTTAGACATTAATGGCTGTGTGTTGAGTTATTTTGAGGGGGACAGCAAATTTACACTGTTATACAAGCTGTACACTCACTACTTTATATTGTAGCAAAGTGTCATTTCTTCAGTTGTCGTCACATGAAAAGATAAAATAATTACAAAAATGTGAGGGGTGTACTCACTTCCGTGAGAGAGAGAGAGCGAGAGAGAGAGAGATACACATATATACACACACACACAACATTTTTTTTTATAAAATTAGAAATGTTGCCTTGGTAATGGTTTAAATACTAAAATCACTAAATAAAAAAATAAAATAAAAAAATCCAATAAAACCAAAATGACAAACTTAAAATGAAAACAAAATATAAAATGCTAATTCAAATTATTAATACTATAATAATATATAACTATAGTAAAACAACACTGATTTGATAATATTATGCTATCTATGATTCAATTCCTGTTCAAATGTGATGGATGGAAATGGTTAAATGCTAGAAGTTCTAGTATTATAATTTAAATCAGTTTGACTAAAATGAATTAATGCAAGGATACTGCAGATTGACATGCATCAGTGCGCAAACCTGAAGAGATCAGAGCTTACTTGTGTGCTGTTCGTCCTCCACAAGCTTTCAGCAGATCTGTATCTGATAGCCTAAGAGAGACAGACAGAAACACAGACAGCTGAGCTGGCTGAAAGCAAAACTGATCATTATTGCTTCTCAATCCCACTTACAGTACAAGAACATTTGAAAGTGCATGTTTAGTGCAGAATATTCTGCAATGATAGTACATAACAAATTTAAATCAAATTTGATAAAAACTATAAGCCTTTAAAAGGAATATGTTAGGATTTTGTAATATTGGCTGCTCATTCTTGGTAGTGCTGGAAAGGTCCAGTTTCTGGTCCTCATCTTCAGAAGTGCTGCTGCTGTCATCTGAATCAGAGGTCTTTTCTGGCTGCTCCTCACCTGACAGCAGCGTAGCTGACTACGAATGGAGAAACACGACATTACAACAACTGCACAATCCAAATACTGAATCACTGCAGATTTTTTTTATTTGATTGATTATAAACCACCACACCATTCTAAACCACAATGTCAACATCAGATGAGTCAACAAAACAAATATGCCCTCATTCACACAAAACCCAGTTTGCTAGAAATGTTGTTTTTTTGACAACTTTTTTGTATTTACTTGCCAGATTTGTCAAATCACAGACAAACCATGAAAAAAAAAATTATTTTCTGCATTTCACCCCTGCATTTCCTAATCTAGATTTATAATAACCTTGTGAATATTGTTGGCTCTGTTACAAATGGCTAGTTATGTTCTTTGTTTGTAAGCGGCTTTGGATAAAATAATATGAATAAAACTGAACTGAGATAAATACAGTTGCAAAATGTGATGCATAATGTTTACCAAAACAAAAACACCTACTGTAAAGAGATGATTTCTAAGTAATTGTAAAAATGTACTTAAATCCTCTTTATATTACTTACCTGCCCTGTTTCCACAACCAGACTGAACGAGGCTCTGTTAAAAACATGGTCCCACCAGTGGAAAGTGAACTGCTCACCTTCCTTATCGCCCATCTGAATACAAACAGCACATAATAAATACAAACATAATGTGCATAAAAGGGCTATAACAACTGGTAACTTAATATCTCAAAAGCTAGATACGTAAAAATAATTGACCTACACAGAGATATGCTATGCTTTACTTTTACCTATATTTTCCTTTTTGCCAACATTTCAAATTTATGTGTAATTATTATACATACAGGTTTTATGATCTGACATTAAGAGACTGTAAAATGTAAAAGCTACAGGGTGAACTGAACCAGTTAGAGCACCATAACTGTCCATTATGCATAACAATAAATGCTTATAAACAACCTTCATGTCCATGTTGTCAACTACCCACATGCTGCATTCAGAGCAATTATCAAAAGACAAAGAGAAGTTCTCTCACTCACCCCTCTTTTATCACATTTAATTTGGACTTTAATAGCTTCTGAGATGCCATTCTCAGATCTGCCCAGACCTTTACCTACAATACAAGTCTAAATATTAGCCATCACCAAACAGACTTGGCATGTGTCAGTCAATAGTTTACATGGATATGCCAACGATTATGCAAGAAAATTATTTATATCTATATGAAAGTTAATAAATATAGTAACACACACAGGGTTTCAGATGTATAAAACAGCCAGCCTGCACGGGTCATATCTGTTCTGATTGACCTTTTTCCCATCCGTGTCGCAGAAGCTGCTCCTCTGGGAATTTTAGTCCTGCACTCTTTTCTTGGACCATTTCTGCCATTTCCACAATAACTTCTCAGAATCTGCACATGGGGAGCAGTTAGTAAAACACGGATCAGGCAACTGCACATATAGCTGTTTAAAATATCTGTTAATTCTAAAAAAAATCTTAATCTGTCAAAGAACTGTAAATCCGATAACACATTGTAAATAAATGTAGGCTCGTACCGCTATAAAAGAGGAAAATGGGCAATAATCGCTACCACGCGTTCCGCAAGGGAGAAGGCATGACACCGGAAAGATACGGAAAGCGAAAAAGTTCAGCGCTCTTAAATAACGAAACGCGCTTTTTGTTGTTGCTTTAATTATCTTACAAATTTATAAAAAGTAATAGTACCATTCACGTGAAATAGTAAATAATTATACAAACAGATAATCAGACGCAATAGATTGAAGCATAATAGATTTTAATAAAAAAAAAAAATCAGTGAACAAGTATACTGTGTGTAATATACACACACACACAGCCACATTTTTTAATATTCAGTCTCACACAAAACTAAGTATAAATAATATTTTTATTAATTGTCTCTCCAGATTTCCAACAATTTGTGCATCATTCACAAAACTAACATCTGAAGCAAAATAAAAACAAAATCACCCTGATATAAAAATTTTCCCCCCCCCCCCCCCCCCCCCTTCATTTTTTCACAGAATATACAATCAATCTGTTAGAAACTATGTTGGTGTGAATCTGCTGGTTAGTGCTTTACAAATGATTTTTTTTCTGCATCTTTTGACTAATCAAATACTTTTGTTCTCAAAGGGCTATGAAATTTGCCCACCAACAGTAATATAATAATCAGGCCCTGTCCTGAGCCATTTTTGTGCTACAATTCTTCAGTAATAACTTTTGTGTATGTTGGATTTCAGTGTTTAGCATGTGTTTGATAACACCTTCATATTTAGTGGATTTATACTTCATATGTTACAGAGAGACCTTCTGACCCTTTGTCACCATACTTAAAATACGTCTTTGGCAGGTGTTAGTGCAAGACATGGGGTTTATGTGCATGACTAGTCTCCAACTAGAAGAACTGCATCCGTGTTTTAATGCACAAAGTCACCAGTTCATATGGATGGAGAAAAGTCTGATCCTTTTATGACTGCAGGGCTCAGTCCTGTTCCTCATCAGTGGCAGACTGCTGCTCAGCAGCCTCGTCCTCTGAGCTGGCCTGACATGCTGACGTATGGAACAGACGCATCAGGTCCCGAAATCTCCTTGAAACCTGCAGAGACACTGATGTTAAAAAAGGCAAAGAAAAGAATGCTATAAAGCAAAAAAGATCTGTCACTTTATAATTCTGGTACCTCACTGGCTGTTTTGTTTCCGAGCTGCTCTGACACAGCCTGAAAGGTGCTTTGATTAGCTCCTTGCTGCTGACAGGCAGTAAGAATCACTCGATCTGCCTCCCTATGAACCAGATGATAAAAGAGGGCCATGTAAAACACAAGCATCATCAGACGATGCTCAAAAACACATCATGATCTGTGGCTGTGCTCACCTAGTCCAGAGAATGACTCTCTCTCCACTGGGAGTGAGGGAGATGTTTTTGGCACACACAGGTGTCTCTAAGACTGGGCTCAGTGTGCTCTGCTGAGTGGCATCTCTCTCTCCTGATTCACCTGAATCGTCTTCATCCCTACTGTGCTTTTGTGCAGTTGTATGATGCATCTCCTCTTCGTTTTTCTTGTCATCTTCTTTGTTCTGTATTTTCTGCTCCTCTAGGATGGGGGAAGGGGGTCTCTCTTCTCCCTCCCATACAGGCCCATCACCTTCTGCAGATCAGGTAAAGAATTTTTTCCAGTAAACTGTCAGTACTCTGTAGATATTATAATGAACACTCCTACATTTTAAAACAAATATATATTACACTATATATAATACATAAAACAGTATACTACATATTAACGTAAATATTAGCAAATTAAGTATTTGTTCAGTAATGTACACTACTATTCAAAAGTTTTGGGGATGGTAGGAATTTTTTAACAGTAAAAACAATATTGTGATATTATTACCATTTTAAATGGTACTGTATTTTTATTTTAAATATATTTTAACATTTAGATTTATTTCTGTGATGGCAAAGCTGAATTTTCAGCAGCCATTGCTCCAGTCTTCAGTGTCACATGATCCTTCAGAAATCATTCTAATATGCTTATTTGGTGCTCAAATATTTTTTTATTATCAATGTTGAAAACAGTCGGGCTGCTTTTGTTTGTGAAAACCTTGATAATTTTTTTTTTCAGGATTCTTTAATCGATAGAAAAAACAGAATTTATTTGAAATAGTAATCTTTTGTAAGATTATAAGTCTTTCCTGTCACTTTTGATCAATTTAACACATCTTTGCTGAATAAAAGCATTCATTTCTTAGAAAAAAAAGAATATATATAGATGACCCCAAACCTTTGAACAGTAATGTAAATTGTTCTTAAAAATTAAGTACAAAGAAAGATTAAAAACATTTTTCAAAAATAACTTTAGGTCTCTGTAAGAATGCCTGTAGATGCTGATTTCAATTATTAAAAACCTAACTAAAAGTAACTAAAAATAAGAAATTAAAGAGATTAGGCTTTACCATCATGTGGACTGTTTGCTCCACTGCCAGTCTCATCTTTAACCTCTTTCTCTGCCTCTCCATCCTCCCCTTGTCCTCTTTCTTCTTCCTTTTCTTCCCCTCTTTCAGATTGTGCATCAGCAGACAGAAACGCAGAATCGCGACTCTTCAGTACCTTAGAGCCATTAGTGACCTGATCACCAAAAAAAAGTCAGAGTCCTCCTCAATGTGCAAAAAACACAATATGAGGAAACATGGTCTCCATCAAAACATCTAATAATAACTGTGGCAATTTCATATATTTCAAGGCTTTGTCATGTCAAACCACAAAACAAGCACAGCGAGCACCTTGTTGCTATTACAACGCAAACATCCCTTCCTCTTATGTCTGCGATGTTTGGCATCATGGCTGGAGTCATGACAGGGACATGAGCAATCTTTTTCAGGCCAATCACAGTCCTGAAAAAAAGCATGAGATTAACAACTAAACAAAAATGGGGAAAACAAATTCACTGGGATGAACAAAATGAAGACACCTTGTAGTTGCCATGTGTGTGCATTTCTTTCCTCCTCCTGCTTCTGATCTGTCGAATCTTGTGAGACTCTTCGTCTTCCTCTAGATCAGGCAGAGTGACTTCCTCAAATCCTCCCCATACACCACCTCTAGAGGCCAAACTCATCCCTGCTTCTCCATCTGTCCCAGTGCCCACGTCCTCTGGCCAAACCGCCTCTTCAAACTGGCCAGGACGTGCTGGGGGTGGACGCATCTCGTCAAAAAACATCCAAAATTCTCCCTGTAGGTGTGTGTGGCCTTTAAGAAGGGTGGCCATCTGTGCTTTGAGCTGAGTTACAAAAGCAGAAATAACAGGATTTAGGAAAAGAAAGAGTGTTATTAGGTACTTGCTGTGAAACTACAGACAAACGAGTGATTCAATAATATAATTTAATGTTACATTCATGTACATTGGTTGTGTATTTCTATAGGACACTGCAGAAAACCTTTCATTTTATTCATGAATCCATTTATCTATACCTCTTCAATCCCAGCAGGACTGAGAGGACTTCCACTCTGCAGCGCTCTCACTATCTTCTGGTAATGAAATGGATTCTCCCCAAAACTGATCTCCAACTGACGCAGGAACCGACGACTCCTCTCAAAGGCTTGCTGCTCCTCAAACTGGGGATGGGACAGAATATATTAGATACAGTTTTGTTTTCTTTTTTTAGCGATAACAATGATCAAATGACTGTTATTGCCACTGTTCTCTTTTCTGTCTATAAAATGATTGCAATTACCAGTCCACACTCTAGAGCTTGCTCAGGTAAAAGGAAAGCAGCGAAGTCCTTGAGGAGCTCAGGCCAGTCTTTGAGCAGAAGTTTCAGCTGGGAGAACAGCTCTACAACACTGCGACTGTCCCCTGCCTGGTCAAACTCATAAAGTAGCCCTAAAAACTCCTCCACCTTACCAGGAATGTCTTGCAAGGCCTCACGCACCTACAACAGTAAAAGAAAGGGAAGGAAGATGAGAGAGAGGGACAATTAGTGTTTCTCTAATCGATGTAAAGGAGATGCTAGTGAGTCAAGTGGTCTGACCCTGTTGAGATAAGCCTGGGCAAAAGCCATATCTTTGCTCTCTCTCATTGGATCATTGTCCAAGATGTGGTCATCGTACAACAGGAGCAGCTTTGAGGCATCTTTACTTCCTCGTTCCTGGCGTCGACCACGCTTCAGACTACGAGGTGGTGTGCGACCACGGCCTGTAAGAGTCAATAAACTGAATCAACTGAACATTTCATATTGAAAAATTAACCAACCACAGCTCAATTCAACTTGACATTAAGGGTGTGCGATAATATCTTAATCGTTTTAACGATGTGTGATTTGACATTATCGAGTATTTTGCAAAAACCTTTCAAAACACCCCTACAGAGTGCACGCATACATTACGTGAAGTTTAAACTAGTGCACATTTAGAATGCGTTCTTTCACTGCATGATTCAGTCTACAATACATTTAGAATGATCACAAATTCATGACATGATGGCAGAAAATTTATATATTTATACCATTTCATATAGTTAATCAATATCAAACAAAGTTGATGTGAAATGTGCTAAACAAGAAGTTAATTAAGAGACATATTAGACACCATGATTCAAACGTTTAAATGACTCGGTTCAATCGCAATGACTCACTTATTAACAGTGACTTTCTGCCCCCTACTGGCGATTTTAATTTCACATTCAGGGTATCTTTTATTATATAAATAATTTCAAACGTTTTACGTTTAATATATCAAAACATTATTTATGCATGTGTAATTGCAGGTTAAATGTATTCATGTTCTGCACTAAACAGTAGTGTGTAAATACATCTAAATACCACTTCAGATTCAGCGCTTGTGTTTCCTCTGCATTGCAAAGATGAATTTTGTTGATACGGATTTGCTTGGTAAAAGCCCAAATGTCTTATTATTCTAATTCACTGATTAAATGTAAGAATCTGACTCAAAAGATAAAGGACACTTTAAGAAAAAATGGCTTTATAAAGGTAAAAATGCCCATAAAATGTAAAAATCAGTTTAAACTTATTGGAAAAGATTCATTTCTATCAGTGTGAACTGACCACCACACAGATTATGAAGAATATCAAAAACTTTAGGAGTCCGCTGTCTATGGCAGTCC